GTGTGTATGTGTGTGTGTGTGTATGTATGTATATGTATAGTTGCATCAGATGTTTCTTCTGTGTCTCTTATTCTTTGTTTTCACTCTCATCGGTTATTAGATGGTTTTATATCCACCTCTCCTATGCAGATTTTTAAATTGTGCATTAAAAACATGGATGGAAAAGCCAAAATTTTTAAAAAGTGTCTAAATATTGTAAAAATGTTGAGCGAAAGTGCCACATTTTGTACTGTGAAAATATGAGAAACCGTAAATTGTTCTTACAGTAGTTAAAACAGTTAAAGCCTCTGACTGGATGAGCTGCACATTTTGGAAATTGGCCTAAAATCTGTGAAACGTGTGAACAGAACCTGCACTAGTGTCTCTCTCTCTTCTCTCGCCCACACAAACACTAGCCACTCTGAGCTGTTACTAAGGATACGTGAGGTCAGCGAGAGCCTTCTGAGGATGACTAGGACCAACAGGACACACACACCCACACACACACACACACACCCACACACACACACACACACACACCCACACACACACACACACACACACACACACACACACTCAGTGGTGTGAGCAGCCTGGTCTGAGTGTGTGAGTGAAATGATGGCGTTGTGAATATTTCAGAGCTGCTATATTCAGCACTGTTCACTTTTAGACAGGCAAGAATAGTGCAGAGAAAAATCATCCCTCTCTCATCCCTCTCTCCTTCCCTCTCTCATCCCTTGCTCCATCCCTCTCTCCATCCCTCTCCATCCCCCTCTCATCCCTCTCTCCTTCCCTCTCTCCTTCCCTCTCTCATCCCTTGCTCCATCCCTCTCTCCATCCCTCTCCATCCCCCTCTCATCCCTCTCTCCTTCCCTCTCTCCTTCCCTCTCTCATCCTTCTCTCCATCCCTCTCATCCCTCTCTCCATCCCTCTGTCATCCCTCTCTCCTTCCCTTTCTCTTCCCTCTCTCATCCCTCTCTCCTTCCCTCTCTCATCCCTCGCTCCATCCCTCTCTCCATCCCGTCTCTCATCCCTCTCTCCATCTCTCTCTCATCCCCCTCTCCATCCCTGTCTCATCCTTCTCTTTCTCATTCTTCTCTCTCATCCCTCTCTCCATCGCTCTCTTCCCCCTCTCAATCCCTCTCATTCTCATTCTTCTCTCCTTCCCTCTCTCCATCCCTCTCTCTTCCCTCTCTCCATCCCTCTCTCATTCCTCTCTCCATCCCTGTCTCTTCCCTCTTTCATCCCTATCTCCATCCCTCTCTCTTCCCTCTCTCCATCCCTCTCTTCCCTTTCTCATCCCTCTCTCCGTCCCTCACTCCATCCCTCTCCATCCCTCTCTCTTCCCTCTCTCCATCCCCCTCTCCATCCCTGTCTTTCCTCTCTCCATCCCTCTCTCCACCCCCTCTCCATTCCTCTCTCTTCCCTCTCTCTGTCCCTCTCTCCATCCCTCTCTCCATCCCTCTTTCATCCCTCTCTCTTCCCTCTCTCTGTCCCTCTCTCTATCCCTATTCCCTCTCCATCCCTCTCTCCATCCTGCTCTCTTCCCTCTCTCCACCCCCTCTCCATCCCTCTCTCTTCCCTCTCTCCATCCCTCTCTCCATCCCTGTCTTTCCTCTCTCCATCCCTCTCTCCACCCCCTCTCCATTCCTCTCTCTTCCCTCTCTCTGTCCCTCTCTCCATCCCTCTCTCCATCCCTCTCTCCATCCCTCTTTCATCCCTCTCTCTTCCCTCTCTCTGTCCCTCTCTCTATCCCTATTCCCTCTCCATCCCTCTCTCCATCCTGCTCTCTTCCCTCTCTCCACCCCCTCTCTGTCCCTCTCTCCGTCCCTCTCTCCGTCCCTCTCTCCATCCCTCTCTCCATCCCTGTCTTCCCTCTCTCCATCCCTCTCTCCCCTCTCTCCATCCCTCTCTCCACCCCCTCTCTGTCCCTCTCTCCATCCTTCTCTCCATCCCTGTCTTCCCTCTCTCCATCCCTCTCTCCATCCCTCTCTCGTCCCTCTCTCTGTCCCTCTCTCCGTCCCTCTCTCCGTCCCTCTCTCCATCTCTCTCTCCATCCCTGTCTTCCCTCTCTCCATCCCTCTCTCCATCCCTCTCTCGTCCCTCTCTCTGTCCCTCTCTCCATCCCTCTCTCCATCTCAGAGATTGAAGGGTGAACAGGCCCACGTATTGGCTGTTTATCCTGATTGAGAGTGATCAGAACTGACCATCCAACATCAGCACCTGACCTCACTAATGCTCAATCAAATCCTCGCAGCAATGTTCAACATCTAGTGTAAAGCCTTCCCAGAAGAGTAGAGGCTGTTACTGCATCACAGACTCACTATTAACACCTTCATTCCAGAGGAAACTCTGGAGGAGCTGAGAGAGCGCAGAGCTTTTGTCAGTTCATTTATTCAGTATTAAGCATTCATTTCACTGCATTTGAGACGCCGTGTCTGAGGTGCAGTTTCTCCAGACGGTCACTTGGAGGCGCTGTCGGTTCAGTGGTCCTCAGGAAGTCTGGAAAATTCCACACGTGGACGTTCGCTCGTGGTCAGCACCTTTTAGCAGGTGCTTTAATCACCCTTTACAGCGTTACCTCACAGTGGAGCAGCTTCAGGTGGTGGGGATGTTCCACTCAGACCCAGCTCATGTGGAACCAGAGATATTTGCAAAAGTTTGTGCACCCCGGTCAATAAGTGAACACATCCTCTACAGCAGGGGTGTCGAACTCGACCACTAAAGGGGCCGTATTAAGAAATCTCATCAAGTCTGTGGGCCAGAGAAAAAAAAAGTTTTTATTTCATTTTTAATTAGTATTGTGCTGTAACCCGAACTGACCATTGTTTATTCAAAAACTTCCAACAGTAAAATATAGACACTTATAATAGACCTTGAAATATTATATGAATACTTGAAGTCTTCAAAATGTAAACATTCCCAGGTGCTCAGTCTTTTAAACCTACCTGTCTGCTTGAATTAGACACCCGCCATCTTTTCTTTGCTGCAAGCTCATTAAGACTTGAGCTCAGTTTCTGAGCTGCTGAGCTGACGTTGAGTGTTTATGTTGGTTGAACTGCAGCTGAAATGGATTTTAGTGATATGATTGCTTAGAATTGTGTAGAATTGAGGTGTAACCGCTGTCCCATGGACTGTTGTTGGGGTAGGAGAGTCACGTTGCAGCACATTGAGAAACAGGCTTATATTAATAGAAAATAAAAATAATTTTGCTGGCCGGATAGGATTGTGTGGTGGGCCTGATCTGGCCCGACACAGGGGCTCTACATGGACACACTTCTGCATATTTTAATACATATTCAACATATTAGGGAACAATAAAATCTATGCCAAAGTGATGGCACACTTCATATTTTATTTAATATTGTTTTCCAATATGTTGGATTCAGCAAATAAACAGTAACTGCATAAAGATGTGTGGAAAGTTGGGTGTGTGAACTTATTCACGCTTCAACCAAACAAGGAATTTGACTGGGGCGCCCAAACTTATGCATACGGCAGTACAGGTATTTTCTGTTCTGATATTGGTATCAAAACCATGCATATCGGCCGATATTGATCAGATATTCCTTCTTTTACCTGAAGCGTTTCAGTGAAGATGTTGATGTAAAGGTACTCTATGGTGCTGAAACTGCTTAGTCACTGTAAAGCTCTTATTTTGTTTTATGCAGATTAATTTTTCTCAGTTAAATGCAAAAACAGTTTGTCCTGCAAGTGAATGCAGTGAATACAGAAACCTGGGCCGCCTCATATAAACACTGTATGCACTGTAACGAGTGAAGAGTCTGTAAACTCTGAATTATTTTCTGTTTTTAATGCAGAAAATCAGTAGAATTACTACAAGTATATTTTACTGCTGTACTATAAAAGTCCAGCAGTAACATGTCCCTGTGTTTCTCTCTCTCCCCCAGTCTCTACAGTGTCTCTCGCTCTCTCTTTCCCCTTTATCTCACTCTCATCGTTTCATTCTCTCTCTATACAGTCTCTGCGCTCTCTCTCTCCCTCAGTGTCTCTCTCCTCTCTGTCTCTGCCGTCTCTCTCGCTCGCTCTTCCCCCTTTATCTCACTCTTGTACCTTCTGTCTCTCTCTCTCTCCCCGTCTCTCTCTCTCTTTGTCTCTCTATACAGTTTCTGCACTCTCCCTCACCCTCCGTGTCTCTCTCCTCTCCCAGTATCTGCACTCTCTCGCTCGCTCGTCCTCCCTTTCTCCCCATCTCTCTCTCTCTTCCTGTCTCTCCCTCTGTCTCTCTTTCTCTCCCCCTCTTTTTCTCCCTCTCCCCCTCTCTTCCTCCTTCTCTCCCCATCTATCTGTCTTTCTCTCTTTCTCCCTGTGTCTCTTTCTCTCTCTCTTCCCCCTCCCTGTGTCTCTCTCTCCTCCCCAGTCTCTACTGTCTCTCTTGCTCACTCTCTCTTTCCCCCTTTCTCTCACTCTCTTTCCTTCTCTCTCTCTCTCTCTCTCTCTCTCTCTCTCTCCTCAATCTCTGCAGTCTCTCACTGTGTCACTTTACCATTTAAACTGTTTTCATAGTTGAACTCACCTCTCTGTGATGCACGCTGGTGGTGTATGTTGGCTGGTGACACACACACACACACACACACACACACACACACACACACACACACACACACACACAGTCAGGTTTATGATCTGTCGGTGCTCAGCGACCCGGAAAACCTCAAATGAAGCTGCTAATAGAGTGCAGCTGGACTGCAGGGCGGCTGGCTGTGCTGCTGAAACAGTGTGTGATGTGTTACAGTGGGAGTCCTGCAGCTTTTAGAGAGAACACCCTCATTAGAACCTCATTCACACCTGTGGAACACTGTATGTGTACGATTCTGTATCTAGTACCGGTGTTAGATTCAGGTTGTATTAATGCTATTGTTCAGGTAATAATAATAATATTAGAATTAGGCACATGCAGGTGTTCTATAGTTCAGGTGTATAGTGATGCGTTACCATGGACACAGCAGCTTAGTCAAAGATGTTTAATCGTAAACTCTGATGTGAACGGTGTGTTTCAGGGCATCAAGGCGCGCGTGTTGGAGACGTTTGTGATGCTGTTCCTCCTCGGCCTCCTCATCCTGGGGATCGTATGGGTCGCGTCCGCCCTCATAGACAACGATGCAGCGAGCATGGAGTCTCTGTATGGTAAGGGCCTTACAGTGTGTCTTTCACCCTGATCTTCAGTGGTCAGGACCCTCACAGAGCAGGTTTTATTTGGGTGGTGGATCATTCTCAGCACTGCAGTAACACTGACGTGGTGGTGGTGTGTTAGTGTGTGTTGCGCTGGTGCGAGTGGATCAGACACAGCAGTGCTGCTGGAGTTTTAAACACTGTGTCCACTCACTGTCCACTCTATTAGACACTCCTACCTTGTCGGTCCACCTTGTAGATGTAAAGTCAGGGACGATAGCTCATCTGTGGCAGTGACACTGAGGTGTTTAAAAACTCCAGCAGCACTGCTGTGTCTGATCCACTCAGACCAGCACAACACACACTAACACACCACCAGCTTGTTAATGTGAAACGAAGACAGATAGCTGACATTACTGCTAGGAAGTGGGGGGAGTCCCAATGTTTATATGATGTATTTGTGTAGTGCACGCTGGGTATTGTAGTGAGAGAGCTCTGATGGATGGAAGCACAAAAAGGATATAAAAAATCCTGAAACAAGGCAGGTAACATATTAGATGCTAGTTTTAGGCCAGAATGTCCCTTTAACTTACATTTAAAGTGGCATTAAATTCAACTTAAAGTAAATATGGATCTTATGACCTTGTTCGTACATGTTCCTGACCATATTAAGCATAATTAATTAGATATTACCATTTAATCCTCTAAATTCTTGTTTTTTTTCTGTATTTGTCCATCAGAATATAAAGACTTTAGCACTGCTGCTTAAACGGCCTGATTTTTCAGTTGGTGTAGTGTAGTGGGTAAAGTCTCTGCCTTCTACGCTGTAGACTGGGGTTCTGGGGTTCAGTCCCTGGCCTGGGTAAGCACCCTGCACTATACCAGTAAGAGTCCTTGGGCAAGACTCCTAACACTACCTTCGCCTACCTGTGTAAAAATGCTGAAATTGCAAGTCACTCTGGATAAGAGAGTCTGCCAAGTGCTGTAAATGTAAATTTTTTAATGATGTCACCGTGAGCCAGGGAATGTAATATTAACCAATAATATCATGTTTCACCTCATCGACGTCCCACCACCCCTGCCTACACTGATAGAAATAAAGGTTCTGTTCAGGAACGTTTTCGTTCATCAAGGTACAAACAGTGTAAATGTTCCCTCAAAGCTCCAACAGTGGATTTAAGGTCTGATTGTGAACCTTAAATAAGTTTTTCCAGGTGAAAAGTTCGTATTTGTACCTTTTCATAACCGAATGTTTTAAACAGAACAGTAAAATAAAAGCCTGGAGGCGAGACGGGGTGTGTGGAGTCAGTACAGCTTAGAACATATCATTTCAGTGGATTATGGTTCAGTTATGTTCCCTGACTAAAGGTACTGAGATGGACCCTTGAGGGTCCCACCCCAGTGACAGGAGGGGCACTGCCCCAGTGACAGTTTAGTACCTAGTATTTCTGAGAGTGTGTGATGGAGAGGAGCTCAGCTATGAGGACAGTGTTGTGAGGCTGTGTGAGTAATAGTGTTTCTCTCTGTTTCTCTCTGTTAAGCAGACCTGTGGGAGTTCTACCTGCCGTACCTGTACTCCTGCATCTCTCTGATGGGCGGCCTGCTGCTCCTCAGTGAGTCCTCCATCCATCTGACACAAGAACAGGAGCACAAAATGCAATAAAACGACCAGTTTGCGGATCTTTATCTCCTAGAATTGAACAGTTTTTGTTACCTTTAAGGCTGCTATATCGCTGCTGTCAGAACAAAACCTTGTATCTCCATTTTTATCCTTTTTCAGTTTTTGACATATTCTTTAAATGCCTGTTGGCCTTTACATTGTCTGTAAATTTCATGATGAATGGATCAAAAGAAATGACCTAAAATGACTTGGAAAAAATTCTGGTTCCATTGACTTACATTAAAAGTAAAGTAGGTTTTTTCCTTCACCTGTAAAGTTACCATTTTGGAGATACGAGGTTTTGTTCCGACAGCAGTGATATGCTAATGACCTCTGTTCTGAATGGCTATGCCTCTTTTAAAAAGCACTCCAGCCCAAATCACTCCATATTACTTCACCCTGAGAGGGCGGGCTAAACTGCTCTAGGCTAAATAGGCAGGTATATGTAAATGAGTTAGTGACTTCAAAGAAACAGAGTTCAAAACGGGCTGTTTTCACAGATTAGTTTCCATGTATGGAAGATACAGACTGAACAGGATGTTTTGAATCATCCTACATCCTACATCAAACTCTTTCATGTGAGGAATGTCAAGAAATCAGTTTTCAATTATATGAGCCATTTAAGTTTTAATATTTTAATATTAAAAATGTTAAATATTTTAATAATTTTAAATGTTGCCCCATGCATGTTCCACAGGTTCATTATAAATTTCTACAGCTGACTTCATTTAGCTCTAATTAAATCCGTGCACTGATTATTTAGTACATTTCCAGTTCTGATTAAGTGAAATTTTATTCTTAAATGTACTGAATACATGGATGATTCAAAACATATTTCAGACTTTAGCTGATCTCAGACTTTGGACTAAAATCCTTTTGCTTTGAGTTACATAATACCTTAATTATGATTAATGATAATTATGAATTATGATTTTATTAAAACTAATGATTGAATGCTCCATTTTGTCAGCACCAAAAATCATACTCTACTAAATGTTTCATTGACTGTTTCGGTGACAATTTTAGCTCATTCTGAGCTCAGCGAACACAGCTTTGAACAGCTGTTCACACAGAAAATCTGAAGATTCTTAATGTTCCACACTGATTTTCAGACTTTGGGACACATTTACTTCAAAACAATGGGATCTAACTGCTCACCATGTGGCCATGAGGGACAGGGATGCAGCCTCACTTCCTGTTCTGAAATGCAGGGGCGTGACTAAATTAAGGCTCCGCCCATCGACCAAAACTCTGTGTTTCGGTAGTGACATGAAAACATGGACATTTTTTAATGAAGCTTTTTATTATTTCAATATAAGAGTCAAGATCAAGAATCTGAATCGTTCAACTTCACTTTAAAAGAAATTAAAATGATCTTTAAAAAGAAAACAAATAAAAAAAATCAGTATTATTTTCAGAAGTGTGAATTTAGGGGTTATGGTTTGGGACAGACTCCTCCCAGTAGAAAGTACTCTATAAATGATGATTGAGTGCATATTTAGCTTATTACTATCTCTATTATTGCCTTGGGTTTAAAAGGATCAGAGTATAATCCTTGTAAATATCTAAGCTCTGAATACTTCATTGTTTTTTCAAGTAGTGTGTGTGTGTGTGTGTGTGTGTGTGTGTGTGTGTGTGTGTGTGTGTGTGTGTGACACAGAATAATAGAAATCCTCTCTCTCTCTGACAGTGTGTACTCCAGTGGGTCTGTCACGAATGTTCACCGTGATGGGTCAGCTGTTAGTGAAGCCCACGGTACGTAGCACAGCCGTGTGTGTATTTGGTGTTTAAAATGGTTTTAAATATTGGTGAAATCTAAACATCTGTCCAGTGTTTAAGTGTTTGGTGACATTTTGCTTAACCATGCCATAAGCATGTCATATGTGTTCATGACGGGACTCGTCCAGTGGTGTTGTGTCCGCTGCTGCACAGTTTGTGTTGGTCATCCTCTAGTCCTTCATCAGTGGTCACAGGACGCTGCCCACAGGACACTGTTGGCTGGATGTTTTTGGTTGGTGGACTATTCTCAGTCCAGCAGCGACACTGAGGTGTTTAAAAACTCCAGCAGCACTGCTGTGTCTGATCCACTCGCACCAGCACAACACACACTAACACACCACCACCACGTCAGTGTTACTACAGTGCTGAGAATGATCCACCACCCAAATAGTACCTGCTCTGTGGGGGTCCACGGGGGTCCTGACCACTGAAGAACAGGGTAAAAGGGGGCTAACAAAGTATCAGAGAAACAGATGGACTACAGTCTGTAACTGTAGAACTACAAAGTGCACCTATATAGATAAAATGGACAATGAGCATAGAAACAAGGAGGTGGTCAGAATGTTATGCCTGATCAGTGTATAAAGATACTGTTATGATGATAATCATAAATAATCTGCACTAAATCCAATTAAACAGGCCTAATTATGCTCACTTTGTAATGAAACATAGTTAGCCAGTGTTAAGTGCTAATGATATCCATGATACGCTCAGGAAAGCGTATTGCGACACAGTTTATCATGATATTGATAAAGTATTACCATATTGCCCAGCCCTATATACGATTATTCTTTCTTAATGTTACTGTAATATGTAAATGATTGCTGGCAGTAACTGAGGTTTCCAAGGATTAAAGTAGCCGTACTTCCGTCTTCCTCTCTCCCCGTGTGACGTATTTTCTCTGCTGTTTGTGTCAGATTTTGGAGGACCTGGATGAGCAGATGTACTGCATTCAGCTACAGGAAGAGGCCCTGCAGCACAAGCTCAATGGTGAGAGTGTTTGTTGTGTTACGGTCAGATCGATACATCCGATGGTGGCAGACGCCTGGAATGTCGGGATGTTTTTCCACCTCTAATTGCACTTCAACATCAAACTTTTCACTGTGTTATTTCTACATAGGTGCGTTTTTGATGTGAGTGAAAGATAAGAAGGTTTTTCAGTGCCGCGAGACACGGTAGCCCTTAGAAGTCGCCGTTACCAGCAGCGATAACAAAAGAGCAATGTTATTCTCCAACAGTGGTTTGACTGATATGATCATCTGCTCTCAATTATCACACTTATTAAATCACACTTCTGTCCTGTATCCGCAAATCTTTCTCAGTTTTCAAAAAAAATCTCAACAGCAACAGTTTTTTTTTTTTAAATATCTCTGTCCACACGAGAACACAAGAATGACTCAAAAACGCTCACATGAGCGCCCACTAGGGGGCGATAATACCTCATAAAATGTGTTGTCACACACCCAAAAAAGAACATTATAAGCATGCCTATTCAGAGCCGGTTTATGTTTTTGATATAACAAAGGAAATAGGAAGAGGCCAGAATAGGAAGAGGACGCTAACATTACTGCTACTGAGCGCTGATTGGTCAGCATTACTGCTACTGAGCGCTGACTTAGGAGTGAAAGGTAAGCGACTGGACTGGTTTTAAAGCTGCCAGGTTAGAAGGAGGCTCCTCATAATGGAGCACTGTTTTGTCACACCCACACTTGCAGGCGCTTCCTTGTCCTCCGTCTTTCCTTTCATTCTCCTTTTTGAGAAGAAGAAGAAGGAAGAAAAAAAAAACCCTTCATATCACAGGAAGCGTTCAGGCCACTCGCCAACTTGGACTTTAGAAGTCTGGCCTCTTCCTATTTCCTTTGTTATATCAAAAACAGGAATGCAAAACACTAGAGGGCGCCTGTGAACGAGTCCTCAATAAATGGGAGTAAATGGAGCTAAACGGCTAAAAACAAAAGTTAAAATAGTTTCTAATCACACAGATCTTTCCTTTAATTTTAGATAACAGACGGATGTATTTCACTAAAAAAAGCAAAGAAAACTTTCCTTTGTTCTACAGCAAACGGGTTTCGGGCAGCAGGACGCTAACATTACTGCTACTGAGTGCTGATTGGTTAGCATAACTGCTACTGAGCACTGATTGGTCAGCATTACTGCTAGTGAGTGCTGATTGGTTAGCATTACTGCTACTGAGCGCTGATTGGTTAGCATAACTGCTACTGAGCGCTGATTGGTCAGCATTATTGCTACTGAGTGCTGATTGGTTAGCATTACTGCTAGTGAGTGCTGATTGACCAGCATTACTGCTATTGAGTGCTGAGTGGTTAGCATTACTGCTACTGAGCGCTGATTGGTCAGCATTACTGCTATTGAGCGCTGATTGGCTAGCATTACTGCTACTGAGCGCTGATTGGTCAGCATTACTGCTATTGAGTGCTGATTGGTTAGCATTACTGCTATTGAGTGCTGATTGGTTAGCATTACTGCTACTGAGCGCAGATTGGTCAGCATTACTGCTATTGAGTGCTGATTGGTTAGCATTACTGCTACTGAGCGCAGATTGGTCAGCATTACTGCTATTGAGTGCTGATTGGTTAGCATTACTGCTATTGAGTGCTGATTGGCTAGCATTAATGCTACTGAGCGCTGATTGGTTGGCGAGCAGAGCAGCCTATTGGCTGTTCGCTGTCACTGATGTCATGAACGTATATGAGGCGCCGTTTTAAACTCCTGTAACTCGAGTTTAACAGAGGTGTTGCAGCAAAACGACAACAGTAGCCCAACTTTCAAGGGTTAATTGCTCTCCAGACTTTTCACATAGGAGTGAAAGGTAAGCGACTGGAGTGGTTTTAAAGCTGCCAGGTTAGAAGGAGGCTCCTCATAATGGAGCACTGTTTTGTCACACCCACACTTGCAGGCGCTTCCTCGTCCTCCGTCTTTCCTTTCATTCTCCTTTTTGAGAAGAAGAAGAAGGAAGAAAAAAAAACCCTTCATATCACAGGAAGCGTTCAGGCCACTCGCCAACTTGGACTTTAGCGTCAAGTCAAGCACGCAACCAAGTGTACAGATGCCAGTGAGCAGGGAGAAGTTTCTTCTCTATTGAATTCGTGGAGGTAAGCGAGATGGACCCGGCTGATAGCACCCAGTTGCTTAATTCCCACGGCTGCCTCTCAATAGACTCTCATCTAGCTGTTTGGTTTCGTAGCGTTGACGCCAAAAGCCCAGGCCGCTTTGAACACCTGATAAAATAAGATTAATCTGTCCTAACGATTTTTTTCATTTTCCATTTTCTCTTTCAAATGATACGCGTTTGATGTGTGGCGGCAGCCACCGAGACCGGACAACAAAAGGCCAGCGGCGATGCGGAATGCCTAAATGCTCGGCATTCTGGGAAGATACCATTCATGCTTGGAGGAGGGGAGAACCAGAGAGAACGTACCTTCTTTTTGAGGTGAATTCATAAGCGGCAGGTGATGCAGGTACAAAGGGAGAGAAGCTGGAGTTCAGAGAAGGTCGTCTACCTCCTCCGTCCTCCCCTGCCCTCCGGTTCTTATCCTCTATAGATGGGACCCCAGTGTGTTCCACCGTCTGTTCAGGAGGTCGTACCTTGAGAGGTGTCCTATCAGCGGTTTAAAGACTCGCTTATCAAAGGCATCTCAGTAGGTTTGGCTGGAATCCGCTTTGGTAGTTTTAGTTTTAAAGGAATAGTTTGGCGAAAAATCACATTTACATGATTTTCCACTTCTCTGAAGCAGACGATCTGCCAAAACATGTCTGATCTGCAAATTTTGCTTCTTTAGAACTGGAGCTACAAGGCCACCAGTGCTAACAAACACTGGACGTTTACTGCATAGTCATACTTGCTAGCAGCCCACGGATCAGTGGCTAGGCCTTCTTTCTTGAGCATGACAGTGATCCCCGTTGGTTGTATGTTGTGGGTATAGATAGTCTTCACAAAACCTGGGAAAAGCATCCTGCTGCCATATTGTTGACATTCCATCAGCATAATGCGTACGAGCAGTCAGTGCCGGCTATGGCTCCCGAATCAAGATATCAAGAAAAAGTCAGTTTGATCAGAGCTGTTGATCCGTACCAAATCCATAAGTTATCTTTGAGTGCCAGTTATGCGTTATTGCCAGTGATGACACATCCATACATCAAGAATTGTCTTAAGTACTGAATCTGCATACACATCACAGGAGCTAAAAGCACACAAATCAGTAGAATCATACTATTTTTGGTCTGTGGTCGGTGATATTCTGTCTTTAACATCGATCACACCATCAAACACTGTCGTGATCGCAAAAGTAAGAATAGCTGATGTTACGTGTCTGAATTTGAGGGGGTTATTCAACGTTGACGTTAAGTTAGATGAGCCCTGCTAACGTGCTGGTGTTCTCTCAACTGCAGATTAATTAAATAATCCTCCTGTACAGTAAAATAAAGCTCTGCTGATCGTTCAACACAGTTTAACAATAAATGGTCTTAAACTCTGGAGTTAATGTAGAACTGCTAATTCACCCTTTAACCCTGAAGATCAGCGCAGACTGCTGGTCACCATAGCAACACAGATAACAGTCTCGCCTAGCTAGTAGCTAACGAAACGGCAAAGAGAAAGATCTTTGACAAACATCGATAATTTGGAGACAAACGGACTTATTTGGATTTATGGTACAGTTGGCACCATTTAAGGTGGAACGGGAAAATTCGAATAAGAAGCTGGAGAATGAGAAGCTGATTTCAGCCTCGTAAGAAATCGAATGTGGAGAGACATTTTACAAGAAACTATACCACTTTTGGAAAAGTTTCCTGCCGGAGATGTGAGAAAGTGGCGCTATAGCTGAGCTAAAGCTTAAAGCAGAGCAAAGTAAGTCTGTGTTTTCGTTTATATTATATTTTTATTCTATACTAATACATCAGCACATACTGAGACGTATTAACAGCCAAGATGGTAAAATAGACATAAAATGTTGTGGCTGCCAAAGTGGTTTGATGACAAAATAGTCCTTCTTAACATTTGGGTTGCGACCGCTGGTCTAGCTAAAGCAAAAGAGATCTAAATAATTTGATTTCAAAAGTCAATCAGTCAGTCAGTCAAAAATGAAAGCGAAAATCTGCAGAATTTATGCAGAATTCGTCCTTCACCTAAAGGCTGTTAGACACCGAATGTGGCATGAAAAAACAACAAAATGCAGGATATTCATGCCCGATTTTTCTGCAAACAAAGCTATACACACTGGGCACGACCAACTTTTTTAGGAATTCGGCGAATTGTTTGCACCTCGAAAATCTTTCGCTTCTCTTGAAACGGCTAAACTGTGACATTGTGAACCGAGAGTTTCTCCTCCTCATTCATAAAACAATGTTGCATTTTCGCCGTTTGGTGTGCAAAATATAAGTTATGCCTGTGCTCAGATTAATTTATTTTCATCCAGATAAAACACATGAAAAAATGATTGGTTACCATCGTTTTCCCACCCACTGGAACACGCTGACGCAACGAAAAGTCAGGCAGTGGTCAGAGTTTATGTAGCTGGAGAAAGTTTGCAAGAATCCAACAGGGCGGATAAAATAATGTTGCATTTTCACCATCTGATGTGCAAGATATGATAATTATATATGTGCTCAGATTAGTTTATTGTCGTCCAGATAAAACACATGAATTAATCACGCTCAGTATGTAAAGACCTTAACATCAGTCTGTCTGATGACAGACTCATGAGCACAGACGTTGGTAGCGTTAACGTTAATCCTGCTTATTCTTGCTGTCCAAAGGTTTCTCCTTGGCTGGCTCAGCTCTTCGGCCCTTTTCCCGTCACAGCGTCGGACAGCTGGGATACTACAGAAGCTTATTCTTTCTTGTTTTAGGTTGCTGTTGTTACTACAGTCATGAAGCATCCAGCACCTCATGGCTTTTATCTGTCAGGATGCTTGACTAACTAACGGAGTACGAACGTTGGTTCTACGGGCACCTCTGTTGCTGCTATAAT